TGAGAAGACAGACAGAAAGATGTGGTAGGCCTCTTAGTCATTTTCTGTTGTATGATAGAACACCGTAACTAGGGAAAGGAGGGGAGGCATGGCACAGGAGTCTGGGCCAGGAGGCTGAGACCTACATCTCCACCTCACACAAGAGCAGAGAAGAACGCTGAAGTGGGCAAGGCCCAAGTCTGCGTTAACAGTGTCCTCTGGGAAGAGTCCACCTCTCAAAGGCTCCGTCACCTTCCAAAACAGTGTCACTAGCTAGGGGCCAAGTGTTCGAATACCCGAGCCCTTGGGAGACGCTTTTCATTCACACCTTTATACCCTCTGTATAGAAAACTCCCAAATTGTATTCATAAATTAAAAGACTACATATCAACAGGTATCAGTTGTTCTCAAGCAGATCCACGTAATCAGTGCATTCCCGATGAAAACTCTGTAAGGTTTTATTAAAGCCAAGAGTATCCTCTTGTAACATTGTCTATGGAAATAAAGTGTAGCAAGAATAATATTGACTAAGGCAATTTTAAAGATGAATAAGCTAGCAGCATTTTCTTCTAGATGTCAAAACCTATAAATGCATCATAATTCTGTGGTGTATTGGAAAGCTAAAATGGGGCATAATTCAGAATCGAGAAATCATCCAACACATGTGTGATGACTTATCACGAGAGAAGCAGCCAGTATGGTAGAGAAAGCGTGACACAGAGAATGGCTGTGTCTGCCTGGGGACTCAAGTCGGAAAAGAACTCAGCCCACCATTCACACTGGGAAAAGAACTCAGCCCACCATTCACACTGGGCCTCAAGTCAGTTTGAGATGGATCCTACATCAGGTTTGAAAAGGGACAAAGAATAACACTTCTAGAAGATCAAAGATTAGCTTCATGATTTTAGGGCTTTAGAGCCCTTAAGTAGGACACAGATAGTATATAAAATATAAGTAACTTTTGACTTTAATCCAATTAAGAACCTTTAGTCACCAAAATATTTCATTAAGACAATGAATAGCCAAGCAATGCATTGTTACTCCTGTACAATCAAAGACTTGAGTCAGTACTATATAAAGGTGGGGAAGTGCATGGCATCTCATTAAAGATCAGGCAAAAACTTAGAACAGTGACACCACAGAAGATGCTATGCAAATGGTTCAATGGGGGCATTAGAGGATGCTCAATTCAGTTATCAGAGATGAGTCTAAATAGCCATTGGAAGGGTCAAAGGCAACTGAAGCTCTCAGTTATTACTGGTGGGTGTGTAAATGGCTCCGACCACTTGGGAAAATCATTTGACATTATCTATTGAGAGCTAGAGCAAGGCGCAATGCTGCCCTTTGACGTGTGTCCATTAGAAGTAAATGTTCAGTTAACAGTTAGTTATAGATGGAGCGTTTCTCATGCTAAAGTCCTACCAAGTGGGATCATTATCTCCAGCCGTCAAAGCCACGGCTTTAACACTCTCCTTAAAGACTCATGTAGTCAGAAAAAGAGAGATATGCAGTAAAGAAAGATTCAAAGACAAAGAAAACTTCTAAATGGTTTACAGTGTGTTAAAAATATATGCAGGCTTGAAAAAAAGTTAAAGTTCTTAAAGAAAGAGAGTAGTTGGGTGTGGCGGTACACACCTTTAATCCCAACACTTGGGAGGCAGATGTAGATTGTACAGTGTGGCGGTGGGACAAAGGGCTGTGACCATGTGTAAAAACAGAGGTAAATCTTTCAAGGTGGGACACCCCAAAAAGTTCTGAACCCCAGTCCTCATACATACCAGGCAATCTCTAAGTTCTATCGCCAGCCCCAGGGATAAATCTTAGAAACATAATTTGGACTGAGATAAGGTAGACACTAAAGTTTATATAGCATTGGATGGCATTTGTATAAAACTTAAAAATAAGCAAAATGGAAGACATTCACCTCCTAAAAGACACTGACGACAGGCCAGAGAAACAGTTCCCCTCAAGTCTGTTCTGGGAGTCATTGAGTTTACCTGGGCAGGTGACTTGGGGTCTTTCTGCTTACAGCAAGTAAGTTTCCTTTACTTGAGCCTTGTATGTTTTGCTTATTTCCTGAGTCCCTGGAGCCTTTCCCTTTGCTCCAAGAGGGAGTGTTTCAGCTGGGAGGAAATAGCAGCACCAGGACTGTTCTTCAAAAAGGAAAAGAGGTGAAGGGGATGAGCAGAAAGTGGCCAGGAGTGGCAGCCATTGGCAGATGAGGTGAGCCCCGGAAGGGAAGCGTGATACTGGAGTGGAATCCACGTTAGGAACTGAGGACAGGCAGGTAAGGTTTTAAATAGGATGGTTTGTGCCCATGGACTGAGTGGAGCTTAGCTGGAAATACTAAATATGCTAACAACGTGAGCATCCCTGCTGGGAGGACCAGCACCCAGACACTTTGGAAGTCAGTCTGGTGACGTCTTGCCATGAGAATAATCTTGCTATACAGACAACCCAGTTTTTTCATTCCTAGGTTTGTGCTCTAAGAAATTATTATATGTATGAATGAGAACTCCCAAGTATTTCCATAGCATTGAAAAAATAAATTGTAGCTATTAGTAACCACTGATAACTGGGAGGAACAGGTAGAAATACGGGGTATACTATGTTGCAAGCCTTCTCTGCTGAGTTGCTGTCTTGTGACCTTTAAGAATGGGGTGCACTGACATCATACAGGAAAGAGATGAGTATTTGTTTAAGTGAGAGAGAAAGCTTTTGACAGCAGAGAGGGGACCCAATGATGGGCGTCTGGCAAAGAGGCTGTATCTGGGGTTTGTTTCTAGGCTTAGGTGGGCTCAGATTGGTTTGGTGTATACGAACTCGGTGAGAAGTAAAGACCAAGGAGGACAGGGCTCTCAGAACTGGGGCAGGCTCTCGGGTCACCAGCTCTGCTCCCCATCCTAATCATTACAGACAGCTTTGTGGGGAAGCGAGCGCCTCCAGGTGGAGGGAGTCAGGCTCCATCTTCTGTCTCCTAAGTCAGGTTTCTGGTCACTGGCTCCCGTCACAGGCAGAATCACTCTTCCCTATGTCTGTGTGTTTCAGGGCTCCATTTACCCCCACCAGTGTGAGTATGCCGCACAGCCGAGAGAATGAGGGCGAAAATAAACTAGTTATGTGGAAAGGAGACACACGTAGGAAAAGAAGCCTATGAAGTCTCCTAGCAGTCGTATGATATTTAGAGTGTGCGAAGACAAACAGCACAGCCTTTATAGATGCATATCTGTGTGATGAAATGAGGTAGAGAGCAACGGAGTGGAAACTCATGAGCTCAGGAGGGACCTGCAGGAGGCTTCAAGGGTGGGATGCCTGCTTCATAAATTACATATTTGTTTCTCTTTAGTGAGTGTAAAATACTACATATTGAATATTCTGACAGAAATGATTACGTATAAGTTTAATTTCTGTCAGAAGCTCTTGATGACAACAGATAGAAACCCCAGAAATAGGCTAGACTGTCTGGCTCCTAATATGCTCTCCCCAGTAAACAAGTTCTGGCTCTGGGTGGTTATGAAGTGTCTTGTGCCTCAGTGTTTACATCTGTAAATGGGAACAGTGAAGTATGAGACTATTCTGATTGCTGAATGCATTTATAGAGGGAAAAGCCCACAGAAAAGTTGGATAATGAGGTTTGCAATTGACAGTGGCTTGGAGGGCCAGTGATTAAGGTGGGTGGGATTGTGGCAAAACAGGATACCTGTTGTAAATGATACATAGAGCACACTAGCTACCTTTGATTTATCCTTGTGAATTTCCTAATTTGGAAACTGAAGAACTGATTTCATAGTAAAGAACCTGAGATGCAAAGATGACTTCAGGGGGGCAAGCATGCTCCTCAGGGCAGAGTGGTGACTGCACAGGGGCAGGCACGCTCCCCAGGACAGAGTGTTGACTGCACGGGGGCAGGCATGCTCCCCAGGACAGACTGGTGACTTCAGGGGAGACAGGCATGCTCCCCAGGACAGAGTGGTGACTTTCGCGCTGGGGGGGAGGGGGAAGACACGCTCCCCAGGACAGAGCGGCACAGTATGTGCCAGGGTCTCCACACTGCCCTTGTTGAGAGTCTGAAGTCCTGTTAGAATGACTTCCTTAACAATTCCATTACCAAGTTGGGAAATGTCTAATTCTGGTCCAAGAACAAGCACTGTCCTGCTCCCATGCAGAATCCCTAGGCCTCTTCCTCAGCTTCAGCAAATGAAATTGAGAAAACTGACTGAGGATGTGGAGGGGCAGACAGTGAGAATGGGGAGCGTCCCCAGGCTCAAGAAGGCTCCGACATTGTCCTTTGGAGAGAAGCCCTGTGGCAGCTTGCTCACCCTTACTACCTCCACTGCCTCGCCCTCTGCTGCCCACAGAAGCAGCAGGCTCCAGAGTGACAGGCTCCAGAGTGACGGGCTCTAGGAGCTGGCCCCATTGACTGCAGAGTCCTGGGTACCTTCCATGTTCTTCCCCTCACTTCCTGATAGGGATGGAACTTCAGATCTGCTTCATGGGAACAAAACTGTCTCTGCTTTTGCGTTACCTTTTTGTTTCTTTTAAGGTGAGTGTATCCCTAATTTTGATATGGCTGTCCCAGCACCTTCACAAAGCAGTCAGCCAAGGGGAAGGTGATCTGTGTCTCGCCTCTGTTTAGCCTTTCCTTTGCAATCTAGCCACTGGAGTCGGAGTCCTTGCTGCTTATTTTGCCTGTCTGCACTCGCTGTAGCATTTGTCAATATTAAATTTAATTTGTGCTCAGAGCACTTCGCTAACGGGGAAAACACAAAGCTCGCTGAACTTTACCTTCCCTGTGTGTTCAGTCCAGCCAGCATTAGCAAACCTAATGAACTCTACAAGGTTGTCCTACCCAAATGTAGGTCAATGCTGTTGACTGAACACATTGTGTGCTTAGAAACTGACCTTGTAAAACCCACTTGAAATTTATCTACCTCGCAGCCCCCTGGATCGCTTGTTCTTTTACAATGGAACGTATTTGTGTCCGAGCAGCAATCCAATGAGTCAACAGGAAAGTGGTCAACACCAACAACAGACATTTATTGAGCGCCTATTGTGTGCAAGGCACTGTACTAGGTGTGGGGCTACAAAGACAAAGGAGAGACAGCCCCTGCCCTCAAGGAGCTTACAGTCTAGTCTAACAGACACATACAGAGAAAGACACGGACGATCCAAGGTAGCATGTCATCGCGGGGGCACAAGTACAAAACAGGATCTCAGCCTTTTGTTTTCATTTACATTTCAGTACCCTGAGTAGGTGGGGGAGTGAGCTACAACCTTCCAAGCCCTCGGAACATCCTGGCCGCTTTCCACTTCCAATGTTTTCTGGTGCTGGCGTTAAAACCTCGGCACCTGGAACGCCTCTTGCCCCACCATCTCAGGCTTTGGATTTTAGGTTTTGAGGGTTTAGAGAAACTTCAGAGAGGGTGACATTCTTGTAGTGGGGTAGACTCTGGCACCCACCACACCGCTGCTTTAGGAGGCCTGCACTGAATCTGTTCCTAGACAGGTCTGGAGTTGACAGACCACCGGAAGGACCTCCCTACCACAGCACTGGAGGCTTTAGAAGACACAAGGATGTGGAGAGGTTGATGGTAAAGAGATGGGGGCTCGAGAGGAGCACGATGAGGAATGAAGTCTAGCTGGTGTGGAATGGGCCAACCAGGAGAGAAGCTTGGGTCTTCTGTCGGGGTAGGATTCCCTCTGGGAGACCCTGGGTCAATCACCCAGGGCAAATGTCTGGAGAGTACAGAACAGGTCCGTAGGTATTTAAACAGTGGCGTCTTCATCCTAACAGCATCTCTGCATTGCCTTTCACTTTCTACCATCCACTTGCCATCTAAAAAGTCATTTGAAATATAGTGTTTATTTCAATATGAGATCATCTGTGTCCACTCTAATGTAGTTCGGATGGCTTAGAGACAGGGAGGATTGAAAAACAGGTGCCCCATTTCTGGAGCACGAATCTGGCAGTAATCTAAGAGGACTTTGTTGTTTGTTTTTATTTCATTTCATGAAGCACTGAACTCCGTGCTCTTAGAACCTGTGTGTCCCTGAATCTATCTGCTTCTGTGCCTCTGTCTAAGGAGTAAAGAGCGGGGTGAACAAAGTGAGGGGCTTAGCTCCCTAATGCCCATTCCTGGGAATGGGAACCACACAGCCAAGTCCCCACGCAGCACACTGAATATTTACCTCCTAATGTTCTTTTAATGTGCGCTTTCTTGGGTGAATATTTACTGTAGAATATTAAATGTGAGATTCCTCTTTTTATGGGCCATTTGAAGTGATTGATTTTGTTTGTGGATTCCTGTATCTTTGCCCATAATGGCTAGCTATTGTAATGGCCTCTGCCAAATGCTCTTGTGTTGAAATAACAGAAGCCGGGGATCGGCCAACTGTGGCATCGTACTACTGTGGTCTCAAAAGCCAGGAGGAGTCTGATGATGCCACTGGGGAGAGAAGAAAAAGGTGTGTAACATACCAAGGATGACAGAGGCTTCAGATTGCCTGAAATCGTGAAGTCTGTAAACAGGCTTTTGTGTCTTTTATATCAGAGTTTCTGTTTAATGGTGTTGAATGGCATTAAGTCTGACAGTTGGGAAATGACAGTGGCAAGACATGAGCTCAATTGCCCACAACCAGGTCCATCAGCACAAGGCAGCAGCGCTCTCGGCGTTTTCTTTAATGCTGCAGTAAAACCACGACCCAAGTGATAATTTCTTACACTTAGCTACACCATGTTTTTGAAAAGAATATATGTGTGTGTGTGTGTGTGTGTGTGTGTGTGTGTGTGTGTGTGTGAAGTCACATATTGTAGCTGCATTCTGGGCGTTTGGTTGCTTCTCATTTGCATATTTGAGAGGAGGAAACAAAAGATGGTCTTGTCTTGATGTTTTTTATGGGGTTCTCTTCCTTTTAAAAAGGAAAACCACATAACCTAACGATACTCAAACGTGTGCAATAGTAGGCCAGGTGATAGAGTTACATTCCGGCAGGCATGCTTTTCCAAATTTCCCTAGGTACAGGAATTGTCAAAGGAGCCACTTAGATTTCAACAAATAATCTCTTCAAGGGATTGTGAAGGTGACCTGTCAATCAATCGTGTGTTATTCACACCCTTCTTCTTGTGTTCATAAAAACACTGCTCAGGGGCCATGCTGTGGTAGAATAAAATTCATTTTCCTACAAAAACTCAGAAGACACTTGAGGAATGAATCCACGAAGCCTTAGACAGCAATTTCATTTTTAAAACTGACTTTTAATAACTCAAGCCATACTACAATAATACTTTGTTTTTGCTGTCTACCTGGGCTGCATTTGAATCTCCACAATGGTACTCTGCACAATTAATAGTTCTACTGAGTGAAAGGGAAAGGGACATTATCACTAATTAAGAAGAGGGGCAAGAGCTGTGATGTGAGACACCTTTAATCCAAGCCCTGTCCTGTTTGTGAAAGCAATGCCTGTTCCCTCATGACATTCACCGCTGCCTTCAAATCTGTCATCAGAGACACTGATGGTCCTTTGGCAGTGTGCAAGGAAAAGCCTAGTAAATTCTTACTTTTCTGAGCAGCATACCTTTTTATAATGAAAATCCATCATCCTATCTACCTTGGTTTTGAATGAAGTGGGTGAGGGAGGAGTCCTTCACATACAAAGACTTGCAGCCAGTGCATGGGTCAGAACGGTCCATGGGACAATGAGCTGGGAGATGGGGAATATCTTTGTGTTCTCTTCTCAAGAAAGGGCAGATCTTGGCACTCCTAGTCAGGGAACACTCAGAAGCCTCCACCGCTCGCTCCTCTCACTTTCTTAGAGAGGCAAGGGATAGAGTTTAGACAAGAGAGGCCAATGAAGAAAACTGATTCCTACCCAGGGGACCCTAACATCTTCACCCTGACTTACAGTTTCCAGATACTGTCAGAGTTCCATCAGTCCACATGTCTAATCCTCATAGAGGCCAGCGAGAGGCCTCATACATTCTTAGACTTGCAAGAGGAACTCAAGGGATCTTCTGGTGCATTCTAAAGACAAGGAAAGCAGAACTTAAAGAGAAATTACTTGTATCAGTTACTATTGAAGAGAGCTGCTGTATCTTTAAGTCCCTCTCCTTAGCATCTCTTTGTTTTAATAATGTAGTTTTTGGTTTTCAGTTTTGTTCTTTTGAACATTTATGTACATCAGAAAGTGTTCTAGCTGTTCTTGTTTTGAAAGAGCAATTTGCCTGAAGCCGAGGGGTTCAAACAATGCCACACATTTCCACGTCCAACACTGATTGCGGGCTAATAACAAGCATTGTGAATTCAGTAAGTCCTCGGCCTGATTCTACACATTCCAACCACCATTCAGGATTAAAGAGTCGGGAGCATAAATTGCCACATAATCATAATCTATAAAAATACTGCCTAGAGTACACTAAAAAACTCTCAATAAATAAATAGCAGACATTTGCTTTATGAAAATCGTTGGAGATGTGCTCTTCAGAATCATGTCCATTCTTTCAGGCTTTTACAAATCACAGAGTGTGACAAATGACACCGATTATTGGTCAGGTTAGGCTATAACCTGATAGAAAAGTCTTTTGACGTGGACGTCTGTAAAGAAATGCAAATAAAGGTGTTGGGCTGCTCCTGTTTCGGTTTCGAAGGCAATACTTCCACCCTGGAGTGTTCCTCACCATGGCAGTGTCACTGAATCGGTACTCATGAGGATGTGCCCTTCTCGGGCTGTGGGCTTCTGTCCATGGTGCTGAACCGCACCACTGTCCAGCTCCCAATCCCGGCCTGGAGTTCAGATCCTTCCTCTTGGGGCTAACGACTTCATACCTCAAAACACAGGCTTCTCCTCAGCGTGATTCACAGCAGGTGGCTCTGGTTTCCAGTCTGGCTGGAAAAAGCGAATGTTGAATGTCCGTGCCCAGTTCTTAAACACCCGTTTCTCTGTGATAAAACGGTGGTGACTGCCCTTGCGTCCTCGCTCGTGCGAGAGGTACATTGTACATTCATCGGGTCCAGAAGGCTCATAGTAATGATAAGGTACTGAAGGGTGCTTAGGATCCCTGTGGGAGGAAAAGGAGATCACTATTAAAGCAGAAGAGAGCAAAAACAAAATGAAAACCCAAACCAAGCGCAACATAAAATGTGCTTTTTTCATTGTCCAATTCAAGAAGAATGTTACTCTTATAAGCTGATAAACACAGATCAGATTTTCTCATCGAAAGAACTTCAGCCGATGGTTTTCCTGGTGTTGGAGCAATAACAGAACAAAAAGAGTTTTGAGGCTGTAAAACAAGTGTGGCCTCAGAGAGCTTGGACACTTGCTGTCGGATGTTCAGGTCTCCTGCTTTAGGCACAATATGCATGAGTCATGACACTAATGCTTCTAGTTCCACACTTGTTACTAAACTCCCCACAGCCCGAGAGCTTCAGAAACCAAACCAAAACCAGTCTGTCTGCCTGCCCCCTGCAACATCCTGTATCCACAGGGGCTTCCCAGTGAGCAGGATTTCAAGGACAGTCCATGCCCTGGCTCCTCTCTGGAGTCCTGCCCTAAGCTACCCCAGCCTTGCTCGCTCTGCTTCAGGCATGCTGAACGTTCTGACTGTCAGCTGTACCCACTTTGTCCCTACTGCAGAGCCTTTGCCCATGAGGACAGCCACTGTCTGGAATCTTCCTCTCGAGCTCATCCTTCTCCCTGTTGGAAATCAAATGCATCCTCCTTGTGGTGGTTTGGATATGAATGATCCCCATGGGTGCAGATATTTGAAGGCTTGGGTCCCAGTTGGTGAGCTGTTTAGGATTAGGGGGTGTGGCCTTGTTGGAGAGAGTGTGTCACTGGGGGTGGGGAGAAGGGGTAAGGCTTCAAAAGTCCATGCCAGGCGCAGTATCTCTCTCTCTGCTTCCTGTTTATGGACCAGGATATAAGCTCTCAGCTACTGCTCCAGCACCATGTCTGCCTGCATGTTACCATGCTCCCTGCCATTATGGTCAAGGACTAACCCCTGAAACTTTCAGTTCTAAACTGCCTTAGTCATGGTGTCTCATCATAGCTATAGGACAATAACTAAGACACTCCCTGAATCCTCACCTTCTGTCCCCCTCACTCGCCTGTCAGTTTCCTTGGCGAATTAATCTCCTTGAAACTGCTTTTGCTTACCTACCTATTGTCTGCTGCGAGAGATTTATCTCGTTTTTGGGACTGGGACTAGTATGGCGGTAATAAGCAATGTTTGAGTCTCTGTCCTTGGGTAGAGTGAGCAGCTGCATGCCACATCACTACAGAAAATTTCTCCTCCGCTGACTCTAAGTCTGATTTCATGGAGTAAAAAGAAGACAGCCAGCAGGCAGTCACTGTTTTATTCTTAGTTTTGTAGATGGACCCTACGTCCAGCGTCTAGTGTCTCTTGGTCTAGAAATTCCCAACTTTCCCATCCCTTCAGGGGAGACTGACAGTCCTAGCATGTTTATACTATATCCACCATCTCTGCCTCAGAAGAGAATACTTGATCAGTTTCTTCAAGGTGGTAGACCCAGTTCTAACATACGTGTGCCTGTGTTGGGAGTGGGCGCCTTGTTATAAAGAGAACCATGTGCTCTGGTGTCAGGCTTATCTCCATTCTAGAATAGTGCTCCCACTTCTACCGGCCTTGAACAATAGACAACTGGCTCCATCAAGTCTTGTATCAGACAACCTTTGCTGTTCTGGGCCACTAGATATGTCCAGTCTGCTGCCATGTGTATCCCAAGATAGCTGTGACTACAGCCTAACATGTGTGTAGACCACAATGGCATGTCACAAGGTCAGTAGGTCAGACACTCCTGCTAGAGGAAGGAGCAGGCTTCTCAGTAAAACCCTTGTAGTTGCTTTTCAAAACCTGATGCCTGAGGGCCTTCCTCTAAGACAGGAGCTATCCCCCAGATGCTCCCCATGCTCCCCCAGATGCTCCCCCTGCTAGCTACCCTCCTGTTCTTTTTCTTTGGAGGAGATCAATACTCAAATGAGTTTTAGAGTTACAGTCTTCCTGGGGTCAGAAAACCAAGTCTTTTATCAGAAGAGGTGTCAACTCTGTGGCTCTGACAACAATAAACCTCTGGGCAGCTTCTCCTCTTAGGTTAAAGTTGTTCCAGGGAGAGAGATGTGTTTTCGTCATGCTAGCCCAGATGCTGTGCTTGGTTAACCCTTTGCATCTCTATGATAAGCCTGACTTGGGTCAGGGGCTGCTCACCTGCCCCTTCAGTCTGCAGATTTTAACGACTCCCTACCCTAGGAGGACTTGGAACAGAGTGAAGTTCAGTAGAAAGCATTTCTAATACAGAAGAGTCACGATGGAGAAAACTTGGGTTGGAACTGGTCACTACCTATAAACAACAAGCAAAGGGACAGAGAGCTTTCACCGTGAACCATGCCTGTAGTTACAGCACTGAAGAGGTTGAGGCAGGAGAATCACTGTGAGTTCCAGGCTAGCCTGGGTTATAGAGGGGCACCTTCTATAAAGCAAACATAAAACACCAGCAATAAGTAAATAAATCAAATCTCAAACAAGCAAACAAAATAACAAGGAATAGATGTGTGAAATCCATCTCTACAGAGTCATGTAGCATGACTGGGGAAGGCTGCCAAATTCATTCTGCCACGCTATTACAGGGGTTAATCCTTTCTTTCATATCAAATCAGCTTTTTAAATGTGATTCACCTAGGTTTTAGGCATCTTATTGGCACCAATCTTCTAAAGAAACAATTAGGTTTCTAAAAATATCATGTGATGGATGGAGCAGCTGGGAATAGAGGGTAATGGGAAGTCAGCTAGCGGATGCTAGGGATCAATTTCCTTATCCAAGAGGACCATCACTTTGAATGAAAGCTTATTGGGTTCCATATTGACCACCTTCAGGGAGACTAGATTTATGGATTTGGGTACCATGGTTTCAGAGGTGTCCAAGTGGCCACTCATGTAAGTGAAGTTGTTTTCATCTTTGAACACTTTGTCCAAAGAATTGCAGAGCCCTTAGCTGGGCTTGGGAATGCAGAGCGGAGGTAGGGTAGGACCTGCCCTCTTGGATGGGAGTCTGCCTTTCCCTTCAGAAAGTCCTCCCTTGCTTCAGGTTGTAAGCTTGTTTGTCGCATCTCCAATACGCCTTTTCCTCTACCTGTTCCTCACCCTGTGAAAACCATCAGTGTCTGTGAATTTCCATACACAAAGGTTATACTCAAAGGGATGCGATGCTGGACTCCATGTCTGGGGCCACAGAAGTAAAAGAGTCTGGGCTGGGGCTGATGGGCCCAGAGTAAGTTCCCCTCCCTGCCTTAACTCCCCAAAGCCCAAAGTGAGTTCTACAGAGCAACCGAAGGAGGACTAGTTTGCTCTTTCTTTTTAGAGAGAGCAGGTGAGGAGAGCGAAGGAACTAGTGAGTGCTGACGGGATCATTCTGGTTTGAGTCGTACAGAGAGGTCCCAGCACAAGTGGCTTTTGAAGCATCTTCAAGTTTGAGCATCAAAATAAGTAGCAGCAATATTGGATAATCAAACTCACGAGGCAAAATGAATATCTACAGTCCCATGAGGATTGCAATAAAGAGTTAACAAATGGAGAAGTAGGCTGCCATTTTGAGAGAATTCCAATTAATAAGTATAGAAAAAATGAGGAGATACAAAATCCCTCCCAGGACAGCATGGTGGTTGTTGAAAGCAAGGTATGCCAACAAACCATTCGTAGGAAAGAGATGGGAGAAATAGCATGATCTTAATCTATCTCCCTCTGGCTATGTGTTAATGACCACGTAAAATTATTCACTGTACAATAGATAAATTCAGCAGGAATCCCGCCAATCAAATGATTGTCACCAGCGAGAGGACAGAAACTCTGGTCCACATTCCAACCTCTCCAGCTTGAGGAGTTTCCCTGGTAACTTAAAGGGACCTCAGCTCAGGGCAAACAGGATTCATGGCTGTGATGCTGTAAGGAATTTCAGGACTCACCAGTTTAGGCAAGTAACGCTGATGGTATTATTAGCGGTGTTTTTAATGCAGGCTTAAGCATGTGGATTAAAGGAAGGAGAGGCACTCGGAAGAAAGTAACACACGCTCAAGTAGGGGTGTGTGCTCTTCAGGAGAGCACAGGGAAAGGAAGACATTGCCCAGCATGCATACAGGGTCCTCAAGGGAGAGAAGCAATTAATTATCCCAGAATTAGCCATTTGTACCATTTTAGTGGCTCTCAGGTTACCTCCCAAAAGGCCAATAAGAAGCCCCTTCTTTCCTTCATATCTTGAAGAGACACACGAGATGGCTCCAGCTCCAAAATGTTGGCAAAGGCTAAGACCTTCAGATCCCCAGGCGGAGGACATTATGTCCCCAGGTATCCTGCCTTAGCATCACTAGTAAGAGACATGGTGCCACCATGTACAGTTTGGTAGGAGATGCTCATAGGGCTTACGACATCTGTGGTCCCTTTCCCAGGATTAGCATCAAGCTAATCACAGGGAAATATCCCGTAAGTTCAATGCTTGGGCAACTCTACATAGTGCCTGAGCACCGAGCAGTACTGTCCTGCAGAGACCGATGGCAGGGTGGGCAAGGGTGCTGAAATCCTGAAACGGTTCTCGGAGGAGATAGAGGCTATTAGCGGAGCCACATGAGGTCTCACTGAAGTCTGGAGTTTAATGGAGAGTCCCACTGATGCTAATGTCTCAGTTTTGGCAATCAGATCACCGTTATGCAAAACCTCAGCACAGAACAGATAGGCGAAGGGCAAATGGACTCTTTATGCACTGCTCTGGCAGCTTTTGTACAAATCTAAAATTGTTTTAAACAGATAGGTTGTTGAATGAAAAAAAAATAATCTCATGTATGGATTTTAAAACAAACAAAACAAACTCTTTAGGATATTTTTCTATTTATACAGTCAGGGTAGAGGAGATGTGTGTGTGTGTGTGTGTGTGCATGCGTGCATGTGTGTGTTTGTGTGTGTGCATGCGTGTGTGTGCATACGTGCATGTGTGTGTTTGTGTGTGTGTGCATGCGTGTGTGTGTGTGTGTGTGCGTGCATGTGTGTGTGTGTTG